TTGGCCTCTAATCAGCTGATTGGCGGCCGGTAGGCAGAATGGGCGTTGCGGTCACCTCTCCTGGGGGGCACCCAATTTGTGGGTTAATAACTCAGATGTCAGCTATCCAATCTTCACCAAAGTTCACAAGGCATGTTGAGGAAAGACATAGGAATCTCCGTTGTGATTCTGGACTCTCTAAGTACCTGGGGGGAACTTTCCTGGGAGGGGTCCTCTGAGTATATAACAGGGGTCTGTGATCCAATGTTCACCAAACTTTCAGGAGCTGTAGAACAGCATCAGAGGAAGCTTCACTGCAAATTTGGTGTCTCTAGGTCATTGGGGTCCAGTTTTATAGACATTTAAAGCAAAGATGGATCAACAGATCGATTTGTGTATTCATCAAAGAATATTCATATCCATTGTTTCGTTAACCTTGACAGATCACGAACCATTTTTTATTTGTCCCCATCTCTAGTTAAAACTTGTATCTGTTACATAATATCAGTCAATATTTTTATAATTTTGATTGATTGTGCCTGTGTTTTTGAATAATAACAACAACAACAACAACAACAACAACAACAACAACAACAACAACAATAATACAATTTTCCCCTTTATCCCCATCCCTTTTGGAGTGTAAGCTTTAGGCTGCTGGAGAAACCTGAAAAATGGCCCTTAGTCCCACTGATATTACACACTCCTAAGGCATTCATGAAGTGCCTGAAGTGACCATGTCACTCTACAAAATATCAGGACCAATACTGGCACTGTTAATTGGCATTATTCATTGTAATTAGGAGGTCAAAAGTAGCCCATAAATTTACACATTGTTGTAGGGTTATCAGAATGGAACAAAGTGCAATGAAATACACGGTCTGTTCAAAGCTGGTTGAACAGATTCATTGCCACATTAACTTTCCAGATTGCTGCTACATTAAAATTCTGGTGAAAATCTGTGCATTGCTCCTTCACAGAAAAATGCTCGGGTCTCTATGAATATGAATTGAAGTCTCTTTCCCTTTGAAATTCCCTTTGAATTTCAGGATTCTTCCACACGTTGTGACAGCCATCAGGATTACAAAATCATGTGAATAGTGACCATGATTTTAAAGCATAGAGTTAGCACTGTGTCAATGTTTGCTCTGTTGAGGTCTCTTTTGTGCAACTGGGGGTGAAATCAGTTATACAACAGACACTGTGCCAAAGTACATAACTGCCTGCACAGAAATCCCCAGCAAGATACTGGACAACACACAAACATTTCCAAGAGGACACTGACTAAGAAACATTTGATTTCATGGCTAAGATAAAAGCCGAACCCAAATGTAGGCCAGATGGATGACTTTCACAGACATGAGTCTGTTCTTTGGAGGACTTTTTTTTCTACAGCAAAAAATGAAAGAGGCCAAGCAGCTTGGAGATCAGTTCTCAGGCAATGGCCTTAATCAGGTAGTCTTGGCTTTGGTTCCCTGACATGATTGCTCGCTAGTGCTGTTCATTTTCCTACAACCATTAGCAGGTTTGCAGTTTTAAAAAATGAGCAGACCTGTTTGCCAGTGGACCAATTTGGAAAATGCTCTACATGCTACAAAAAAGAAATGTTGTTGGGTATTGCTTGTTTGTTAAAACATAAGTTTAATGGCACTGGTGAAATTGCTTCTGAAATGATTTGCAGCTGCTCGGTATTAGGTTGGGAGGCTGCACTAGAAATGGGCACAAACAGCCAGTTCATCGGTTCGTACCAATTTATCCTTCAGACAAGCAGGCACTTCCCAGTCCCACCTGCTCTGGTGAGTGCCCACTCAGAGACAGTGCCCTGGCTTCCCTGCCCTGCCTCCTCCAGGTGGTGCCTCTGAGTGGGCACCCACCAGAGCAGGCGGGACTGGGAAGTGCCAAACACCTCTTCAACTGAAGGATGAACTGTCATGAACTGCTAAACAGTGGTTCGTGCCCATCTCTAGGCTGCACCTTAACTGGTGGATTGCATGATCCAAGAAGATACTCATTGAAAGCCTCTCACTTGGGACTTGTCCAAAATTACATTAGAAATAAGATCTGAACCAGTCCTGGCAAGTTTTTTTTTCTAAGGTTGTCTCCATGACGTACAAAAAAACTTGCACACACACCCAATTCAAGGTGGTTTTTTTTCTGTTTGGGAGGGTGTTATTTAAATTCCTTTTTGTTTATTTTAACTCGCATTTTTGTGAATTGACTGATCCAATGGAGACTCCTCGGTTGCAGGAAATTGCTCCTCATTCCTATGTTGCTGTGCTAGTTCTCCATATTGTGTGTGTGTGTGTGTCTGTCTGTCCTTTACCAAAGAGGGAGGAGAGCTGGGTAAGTGGAAGGGCCTTTGTTTGCCAGCCTGCTGCAAGCAAGACATCACCATTGCCTCCTGGAAGGAAGGAAGAGGGGAGGCAGTGGCTGTGGCAACAATGGTGGTCCTCTACCAATTCTTTCCTCTGCCCATCCTGAATTTCTCTGGGGTCTGGGAGCAACCCAGGAGCAGAGGGAAGGCATTTTACTTCTTCATTCCTCATCTTCCTCTCCTTTCTTTCTTCCTTTCCTTGCCTTATTTATCCCCACTTTTCCTCCCCTTGTTGCCTTTCATGGAACAATGTTTAAAATGAGCAAAGAGAATGCAGGAAAAACCAGCAGGGCTGCTTGCCGAGTTGGCACAGTGACGAGTTTCCTTTGGGGGGAAAAATGGATCTGAGGCACAGATCCCCATGGATTTCTATTTAGAACACTGGGGGGAAAAATGGATCTGAGGCACAGATACTCATGGATCCACATGATTTCTATTTAGATCATCCCCAAACCATTCTCGGTCATAGGCACTATCTCTGCTCACAGTTTGAACAGTGGCTTGGGGCAGATCCCATGTTAAAATCATGAGGATTCGTGAGGATCAGTGTCTGTACACCATTGCAAAGTCAGGCACTCTTCATTTCTGTGATGTATTTTATGGGTACAAATGGGACACTACTTAATAGTGTTTGGGGGAAGATCCCATGCTAAAATCATGTGGATTCATACTTGGATTCCTCTTTCTTTCCCTCTAATAACCACAGCAGCAGGGTGAGTGGCCTGTGCAGGTGCAGGACAAAGCCTTAAGGGCAAAAGTTTTCCCAACACCAACCCAAATGCCATGTGACCGCCATATGATTTCTAAATCAATTCCATTTAGAATGGAGCTTATCGTGAGGCAAATGTAACTGTAAACAAGCCCTTAGTCATGCTGGCATAGCCCAAATGGTCAACCTTTGGAGGCAAGTTGCTCCAGCATATGAAATTACCAAAGACATTATCAGTTGCATACTGAGTTCTATGATTCAACATGCAACTTACAATATATATTGTTATTTCTTAACTTAGAGCATTTGCCTCTGAACGTTGCACCATTTGTGTAGTTATGCAAGAAGATTTTGGCCAGTGAGTGTGAAAACCTGAGGCATTATGACCAAATTTTCCAAGTCAAGTCATAGGCCTGGCAACTGATAGAATTTAAACTTCTTTGGGTTGGTTTGTTTCATAAATCCCAAACTCTAGTAATGCTGACAGTCTCTTGAAGAGGTAATTTACCTGTGTCATCAATAGATTTACTATTTTTTGTACATGTACAAATTTCTGGACAGTTTTCACCCACGAAAATGTAGTTCCAGAACAATGTTTAAAAAATTACACATATACAAGAAAACATAATTAAAAGCATGTTTTACCTGCAAAGCTAAATGTAAGAAAAGAAAAGTTAAATGTTCAGCATCTTTCAGGTCCTTGGAAATATGTCAATTTTGTTTCCTTCCACCTTGGAATTTCTAATTACCAACTGTTGACTTCTTGAAAAAAATTAGGAAAATTGAGAAGTTCTCACACACACCCCAATGAAATTAAATTCTTAGCCACTCGTAATAAAATTATTACTGACTCATCTATGTCTTCCATGACATGGAATAATGAAGTAAAATTAATAAAGTTATAGCACGTTAGGGCAAATCATGTACATGTTTCAAACTACTTTGGAGGTCAGCTAAGGCTCTCAAATGAGGAGGACAATTAAGATAGTCCTTTTACCAACTTATTTTATGTAAAGAGTTGTTATTGGTCTTGAAATGACTTTTATTCCATCTAACCACTGGCGTCTGAATGTTAAGGTTTCCATATTTTTCCAGTAACTAATAATCAGGAAAGTTCTTCTCTGATTTTACAGTATACCAAGGGAAAAATGGAGGGGATACAGTTGGAAAGGGGCACCAGTGTGTATTAGTAATTAGATAAGGTCAGATGGACATTTTAGATTCTTTTATATGCAAAGTCAGTTTTTGGCAGCTGATTTGTAAGCATTTCTCTTGGTTTTTTTTTCATAATTATAACTAGAAGGTTCTTTAATGTGCAATAATAAGGTTCAAGCTGTGCTATTTTCCAGCTAATAATTATACACAACAGCATGGTGCATGATAGTTAAGAGAAAGTTTTCAAACTCAATATATTATTCCTATCTAACCATTTTATGTGCAATGACTTTGCTTTTTAATTTATTCTTTATTGTGTTGATACAAAACTGAGCAGAGCTTGACTTAAGTTTTTAAAAGAAAAGGGTGAGCCACAATTGTTGACTTGCTCTATTTTTCCTTGTTGACAGCAGTATTTCATAGATGGGGGAATGTGTGTGTGTGTGTAGTAAAGTAGCCAAAATTCCGCTTCACTTTCAGAAGGGAGATTTGTCAAAAGATGCTGGGGGGTGTGGAACTTATCAGACATCAGTGACTACTGGTTCTGTGTGGGCCATAAATGTGCCTCATAAATGAAGGGAAAAGGTCATGATTTCCCTGCTGACCTGGTCACTATGGAGGTGCACCCTTTCTGAAATTTGCCCATCCCACTCTGAAGTGCCATTGTCAACAAATGTGTATGAAATATACATAGACCCCATATGCAGGAAATATGAACCCTGTTTATTCCTTTTAAGAGACAGATGAAACACTGGAAGCAGATTACAGAACCTTTTATGTGTTTATTTAATACTAGCTGTTGAATAGCACCTTCAGTTTACTTTCTTCTGGAAGTATCCAACTTAAGACTTGCAGAAAATGCTATGATGGTGATCCATGCTTTCAGAAGGATTCTAAAGTGTATCACTTGATACAGAGATTAAGTACTCTGGACTGATACATCCTTGCTCTCAATATGACATGCATTTCAGATCAGTGTTTGAAAAGGCATTTCTAGAGCCCTTGAGCTTCAATAGGCTAGGATACCAGTTCTTGGAGTTGAAGGGAGGAACTGATTATCCATCAGCCTAAAAAGATGTAGACTTGATAATACTGCGACATTTTCAATACAACCTTCATTTTACTGGTGTTTCACTTCTTCCCCCTGTTCTCCTGTGGTGCACAATGTTAATGCTGGGATCAAGGTGAAAATCAAGGCAAACTGGGGGAATTAAATATTGCATACAGTCGCTGTTCTTTTGTGCGTGCTGATCTGGTAAAATATTGATATTTATCATGACTGTAATGTAGTGCATGTCCATTTATTCAATTGGCCTGGATGGCATCCAAAATATTTGTATAGTCAGATGTTCAAATACAATGGAAACATGTAGACGTGTGTACATGGGATTTCTTGAGGAATATATGGTGGTGAATTTGAATCTATACTATTTCATGGTTCCCTTTCTCAATGGCAAAATAAATCAGTAAATATGACAAGAATGAAAATCATTCTCCTTCAGATTAATAGCAGATTTTTAAAAAATATTTTTTTCTTCTGCATACGTAAAGAACTAAAGCTGTATATGCGCAAAATGCCTTTTTGTTTCTTCTTTCTTTGCAACCCATGCACATAAGGTGTAATCCTGCAATCTACTTTTTTCCTGAGGATCAGTCTCCATAGAATCCAGTGCAACCTTCTTTTGAATAAACCTGATTAGAATAGCACTCCTATGGAAGCAGATTAGCAAAATGGCATAGCCACAATACCTGTTTTACAGGGAAGCGGTATGCTACTGCAAAACTGTTGGACTGAAACATAGGATAATCATGTTCAAATTCCCAGAGCCAAGATGCTCACTGGATCACCTTGGGTGAGTCACTTTCTCACCTGAGTCCTAGTCCTTCATTCTGTCCCTTACGCCATGAGTGGCTACTCCATCACTAGTATCCATAAAACATCTTTGCTTGTTCTATGGAATAAAGGACAGATCTTTGGACTTCCATGAGAAATCGTGACACTTTATGCAAACAGAAACAAAACCCAGAACAGGTCTAGGTGACAAGACTGTCTTGTATTCATTCATATAGACAGTAATACATTCAAACCCTGCCAAAACATATGTAAATCTCCAAGAATAATGGTAAAAGAATAATAAAGGAGAAAAAGGAAATTACAGAATAGCTAAATTAATCTTTTATATAAGTCTTCACTCTAAAGCAGTGGTGTCCAACCTTGGCCCTCCAGATGTTCTTGGATTTCAACTCCCAGAAATCCTGGCCAGCAGAGGTGGTGGTGAAGGCTTCTGGGAGCTGTAGTCTAAGAACATCTGGAGGGCCAAGGTCGGACACCACTGCTCTAAAGTATATCTTATGTACCCATACCCTGGGCTATAATCAAGTAGCCACTCATCTGAATCTGATGGGGCTTATTTCTGACCAGCCAAGTAAAGGATTGTCCTGACAATCATGGTTTTCACACAGTAAAACATAACTAGAATGTCAAACAGTAGTGATGAAGGTTACCTCTAATGTCAGATGTTCACAAAGTGTTTGGCAAATTCCTTCTCTTTAAAAAAACAGACCATCTTATGGGATACATTATGAAGAATAGGGCACGTTGAAGTGCTGTATTACGTTGTAGTCATTTATTTAAAGGAAAATAATTTTATTTTACATAGTTTGACTCAACAATCCCCTCCACTCCCAGCTCCAATATCTCTCTCTATTATCTCCCTTTCCAATATCCTATCTCTTGCTCAGCATTTCATAAAATGAAAACTATATTAAATTAAAATAGAAACTGATAATAAAGGAAAGCATGTTCTATTTCATGTGATGCATTGCTACTGACGTACAGTAGTAACTCAAATTATACTCTGTACAATTCCAAGAAATTACACCAAAGCTTTTTAAACTTGCTTTTCTCTTGTTGTACTCAGGAGGAAAGTTTTTTTTTTCTTTCATGTACAACCAGAAGACTAAGCAGATGATATATCCACCCATCAATGTTAGGTGAGGAAAACATGTAAAACCCCAGCTCTTCACTGGTGGAGGACTATCCATTGGCATCAAGTGAGAGCCTGATAAACCATTCCCCTGGCCTTCTTCTTGCTCTGACTATGAGGTATGTATTCCATCATAGCATTTATATTCTCTATGTCCAATGACTTATTCAATATAATCTTAATTCACACCTGAGTCTCCTTCTAAAGATGGGGCATTATGAAGCATTCTACAAGAGATGGAGAAGAACTGTCTGTGGTTTCAGTATCTGAAAGTAAGTTGGAAGCCATCTCGAAACCACAAAACTATATATTCTGGGTTTTCTTGTATTAATCTTAGCCTTTGGGGTAACATGGATGTCATGACCATCCACACTACTGTCAGGATTAAGGATTCCCTCCAATTATTGAGAAACTATGCAGATATAATGCCATATATACAATGTCTACTTATACAGCAAAGTGTAATTTCTGTGTAGAGGAAGCCCAAATTTCAGGTATTCTTGTTTCACGTAACAATGGTCACTTAATGGCAGAGCATATGGTCAGTACGCAGAAGGTTCCAGGTTCTGTCTGTGCATAAATCAAGGTAGGGGTATTAAGAATCCTACCTGAACTCTGGAGTTACTGCCAGAGTTGACAATATGAGGCTGGATTAACCAATGAACTGACTCAGTATATTGAAGTTTCCTGCATTACCATTGTTGCTGTTGCTGCAGCTTCCCATATCTAGTTCTCTGCTCTGTTTCATGCATTTGATGAAGCAGCCTCTTGGCCATGAAACCTTCTACCACAATAAATGTCTTCATCCTAAAAGTGCAATAAGAGTCTTTGTTACGCTTGATGCAGCAGAATCACAGAGTTGCCCATATGGAAATACCATTTCAGAATTATGCTTTTGATGGGGAGCAAATATAGTTTCAAGCCTGTGAAATCTTGTGATCGTAGGAAACTAACATGTAACAGAGAGATAAAACGGGAAAGAAGTGACGTTTAGATTTAAAACTGAAAAGAAAACATCTCATGGAATGAGCAACAATAACAGCTAGCTCAGAACCTTGATGCCGTTTCTGTGCCACAGCTGCTGTGTCACCTTTGCTGATCTTCTTGTCCTTTGGGATTAGCAGGGCTCCGAACAGAGCCTTTGTGGATTGCAGGTGTGAGCAAGTTCAGCAGAATTGACACACGCACTCATTTCTCTCCATCTGGAAATCACCTAATATAGATCCAAGTGAGAGGTAGATAAGCCAGAAACCTATTTACTTGCTCTGCTCATATAGCACACCATTGCATGAGGGCTTTTTTAATTGTTTTTTTTTCAGAGATTAGGCAAAAAGTATTTTCTTCCAATATTTTCTTTCATACACACACACACAAAAATCCTGTTGAAATTGACAGAGGTATTCTTGAGCCTGCAAGAGATCACAAAATAGGACAGTCAGAACATCACTTTCTGCCTTTGCTGCAAGAAGATTCTTAGGTTCCTCTTTGCTTTCAGATTGAATGGAGACTCATTGAAAATAATCAAAGACTGCAAGTGGCTTGCTATCTGTTTCTGGGCCCAGTTAAGCACCCAGGTATTAATTTTTAAAACTCTAAAAAGCTTAGGGCCAGGCAAGAGATCACAAAATAGGACAGTCAGAACATCACTTTCTGCCTTTGCTGCAAGAAGATTCTTAGGTTCCTCTTTGCTTTCAGATTGAATGGAGACTCATTGAAAATAATCAAAGACTGCAAGTGGCTTGCTATCTGTTTCTGGGCCCAGTTAAGCACCCAGGTATTAATTTTTAAAACTCTAAAAAGCTTAGGGCCAGTTTTACCGAGAGAGAGAGAGAGAGAGAGAGAGAGAGAGAGAGAGAGAGAGAAACTGTGTGGAAACTAATGCAAACTTCTGGGGGCCTTTTCTTATCATCCCCACTGAATGAGCTGAGAAGGCAACTGCTACAAGAAGGCCTTTTCAGTCATGTGTCACAGTTAATGAATGGCATCTCAGAAAAGCCTATGGGCTACATGCATTGTGATGTGTTGAGCACCAGGTACAAGCTTTTTTATTTTTCAGTTTGTTTCAATTTGTGTGGGCCCACATTTTAAGTAGGACAGGAGGGCCTGGTGTGCTCTGGTCCATGGGATCATGAAAAGCCAGACACATTACTGAACGACTAAACAAACAAACATTCGAAGTATGTCTCAGGTTTTAACTGATTCATAGTATTGAGGTCACAGTGTTCTGATTCTGAACAACTTGAACTGGTTGCCAATTGCTTCTTAGGTGCTCTTAAAGTTTTGTTTTTAATCTTGAAAGCCCTAAATGGTTTGGGACCTGGCTTTCTAAATGTCTCCTTACATGGATGCCAACTGCACAATTCTGGAATTTATGTATTTATTTGATTTATCCCCCGCCTATCTGGCCCACCGGGCCACTCTAGGCGGAAGTCTGATAGCACCTTAATCATCATAGCTGTACCCTGTGGAATTTTGGAATTTGTCATTTGCTAGGTGCTTAGAATTCAGTGCTTGATTGTACAATGGAGATGTATTCTGGTCCCTCATCAATAAAGCCACAATTAGACATAGCAAATTATACAAACCTTACACAAACACCAATAGGATTCTGGTCAGTAATAAACATGTGAGTTAGATTAGGGGGCATGAATATTCCTGTCCCTCAATGATATTCATGGCTAGGTGGTATGTGCTCAGCCATCCTCCTGCCCTAAGGAGCTGGTGGTAACTGTGTCCTCTGGCAAAGAATCCATGCACTCCGTTTCAGGTATCAGGCATAAAGGTAAAGGTAAAGGTTCCCCTTGACAATTTTTGTCCAGTCGTGTTCGACTCTAGGGGGCGGTGCTCATCCCCGTTTCCAAGCCGTAGAGCAAGCATTTTGTCCGAAGACAAACTTCCGTGGTCACATGGCCAGTGCGACTTAGACATGGAACGCTGTTACCTTCCCACCGAGGTGGTCCCTATTTACTGTATCTACTTGCATTTGCATGCTTTCGAACCACTAGGTTGGCAGGAGCTGGGACAAGCAACGGGCGCTCACTCCGTCGCGTGGATTCGATCTTGCGACTGCTTGGTCTTCTGACCCCGCAGCACAGGCTTCTGTGGGTTAACCCGCAGCACCACCACGTCCCTCAGGCATACAGGAACTTTATTTGAAGTTATATGCAGAGTCCCTTTCCCCATAGGAACAGAAGGTTGGGGGGTAATCACTGACCCATGTGTGCCCACTCCTCAGTTACCCTCATTGAGTTCTCCCAAAGTCCAAGTCCAGCAGGGTTGGTCTCAATATGTGTCAAGGAAGGTTTGTACAGTTCCCAGCAAAACCTCTGGCTAAACAGCCCATCTGTTTCTGCTCTTCCTTGACTATCCAAGATGATAAATGGATGGAAGTTTCACTATCAGTTAGCAGCTGCCCATCTGGCTTGGGAGAAACACACCGCATATTCTCCCCTATCATCATCAGCAGTTCTTCCTCTCCAGACACCCAGGAACCATCTTCCTCTTCTTCTTCTTCAGATGCTGACCTCACAGCCCTGTTCTCCCTGTCTTTTATCCATCTCCAGCCTCCCTCAGCCAGGTGCTCATTCATCAGCTGCCCTCCCTCTTCCCTTCTGTCCTTGGCTTTACCATTCTTCTCTGTCTTATCACTCTGAGCCTGCTTAAAGGGGCTAGGCAGCCCATCGTGAGCATGCTGGCTATCCAGCACACCCACCCTCTCACAGGTGGAGGCTTGAATTTTGGGTTCTCCAATTGTAGACCACTAGCCTACCAAAATATCACACTGCTCCCAAAAGATTCTGTTTAGTCCTAGACCTGAGGAATTTATTTCAACACTCTGCCATGAGGCCTAGTGTGGGAAAACATCCTGGTATAATAGACTGTAATATTCGTAGTAGATTACAAATATGGGATACTATTTTTTTATATTTCCAGGTATCTCTTGAAATTTCCAGATAATTCCCTGCAAGTATAAAGCAAAGATATCTGACATATTGTATCTATCCCAAACCATGCCCCATGTGATGGTTTGCAGCATGCATGAAGCATTTATTGTCAGGGAAACAGTTCCCCAATCATAATCAGACATGCAGCTTTCCCCTCCTGTGACCATACAGCTCAACTGCTTCTTTCTCTGTATCATTAGCCTCCAGCCCTAATCCTGCTGGAAATTATCCTTGCCAGTCTGTGGCCCAGCACAGAGAGCTACTAAAAGGAATCTTTGCCAGACACATCAGCATGTGCCTAAATAAAATCCAGAGGAGGCTACAGGAGAGTGAGAAATCACCCCTGACAATGCATTTTACCTGGCAGTCCAACACTTTTTATCAGCATAATAAAAAGTGCCAATACTTACCACCTGTCTAAAATATGCAGTAATAATAAACACTGTTAGAGGGCATATTATGGTCAATGTTGAAATATTAATTTATATCACTGGGAAGAAGTGAAAGAGCAGAAAGGCTATGATGCCTCACACAGGGCACTGCTCGCAGAAGATGAGGGCAGAGCCTTTTTGTCTTCAGTGAGCATCGATGCGAAATTGCAGTGACTTTCTTCTTCTTTTCTTTCTTTCTCCTTTTTCTTTTTGGTAAATAACACGCTATTCAATGCTTCATATGATTGGATTACTGAAACAAATGACTGTGGTCTTCTCTTTCAGTTCTAGTGATGGCTGCATATTTAGAGTGCTTTAAAGCTGGTCAAATATTTAAGCAGTATGGAAGGTTATTCACTAGGGAATGAACCCTATTTGCAAATAGCTTGGTGAACCATAACACAAGCAATTTACTGTTTTTTTCTACACTTTTCTGAGTGTAGAGAATCATATCGTTTCTGAGCACTGGAAGTCTAGTACAGTACAGTGGATAGAGTGCTAGGCTAAGACTGGACAGAATACAATTGAAACTCTCCTTTAGTGTCACAGAGTGTCCTATCATTAGCAGTGACAAGTTTGGAAACATGACAAGCTGATTGTCATGACAGTCATCACAGCCAGCGTCCCTCCACAGCAAAAGAAGAGTCCAAAAATTCAGGCTATTGGATCTGTCCATTACCAGTAAATAAGGAACATACTGTATATTTTGTAAAGCTCCTGATCTAAATGGCTTGAATCCAAGCTACCTCAAGGATCACTTCTCCTTTTATGAGCCTGCCCAGGTGTTAAGATCATCAGGGCAGGTCTTTCTGGTGGTCCGTGTTAAGATCATCAGGGGAGGTCTTTCTGGTGGTCTCACCACCCTCTCAGTTGCACTTGAATAGGACATAGGAGAGGACCTTCTTTCTCACTGTTCCCAGACTCTAGAACGCCCTCCCATGGAAGGCCAGTCCAGTCTCATCTTTGCTGTCCTTCTGAGCAAGCAGACCAAGATGTTTCTCTTCAGACAGGCTTTCTCTTAGCGACCATCTGTCTGATAACTTTTTTTTGGATTATTGTGCCTTGTTGCTTTGAATGTGTTTTTGGTATTAATTTCTAGTACTACAGGAGTCTTCATCAGGCTGGGGGTTACAGAGATAGGGGTGCAGAAGAAATAGAAAAATCCTAAAGATCATCCTGTCCAGAACCTTCTGTTTAAAATAAGTTTGAAAATGGAGCCCACAACATTGTAAAATCAGTGTGAGGTGATAAGTTTCAGGTTTCTCCTCAGGCAATATAAAATAAGATGGTTTATTATGTTTTTGTTGGCTGGCTTTTGGTATTAAACACCTTGACTTCAATGAGTGGGAACTGCTATATACTACTCCAGCTTAGCAACAGAGATAAACTAATCATCTTGACTAACACCACTATTGTCTTTCAGCTTGCCCCATCTTAATTGCAGGATTATTATCACCATGAGTTAGGGAGCATGAAGAGATCCCTCAAGTACAACTTGTGACCTGCCCACATTCAGCTTGCTTTCCCCCAACATCTGACACTATAGAAGACACTGATTCAGAAGAAAGACAGAAAGAGAAACTCTCAGATGGCTATTGACAAAAATATAGATCTGGGTGTCACTTAGATCTGTGATATACTGTACCCATTACAGGGAGTTACAGTTACAAACATCTTGATGCCACCATTTAATATGGATAGAGCTTGGAAAAGTTACTTTTTAGAGCTGCCACTTCCCAAAAAAACCCAACTGGCTCATTATGTCATGGAACTGCAGTCCCAAGAAGCAGGTTTTCCATGGTCCTACTGAAAGCCCTAACTTGAAGATTCTGTGAGAAAGAAAATTAAGAAAATATGGAGTTAAAAGGAGAGGTGGGTTGATATTACTCTGCACACCAGAGCTGTTAACGTCTGCATTGTTTAAAGACCCAAAACTATATTTTTCACCCAGACTTTTCACAACTACTTATTGTTAATTTAAGACACCTATATAAATATTAACCAGGTATGTTTTGAAATTATAGGGAAAATATTAATGGCTTCATTTGAGCAAAGGTGATAAAGTAATGCTGCAAAAAGTTTTAACACCCCCCCCAAATTACACAAATCAGCATACACTGGCCACTGCTTATCCAATTGTATCAGCTTAGAGAAGACAACATTTAAAAGAAAACATAAATTGAAGGGCTATCCCTAGGGCTAGAAAGAGAGGTGTTCTTTTAAAGAAAAAAGGGATTAGGAAATAATCACTAAAGCTGCCTGCTTTATTACTTCAGGTAAAATATCTTATGAATAATATAATCATTGTCTGTGGTTATTGGGTGTAAAAAAGATGTGTAATCAGTGTACTGTGATACAGGAACATTAACACTTTCACATTGACTAGATACAGACTCTAAGATGAGCATTTAAAATATAAGCAGGAAGAATATTCTATACATTGGCCCTTAGGCCAATATACAGTTATTTAATTTATTTCAGGCACCGAAGGGGTCTACACATTTCATTGGTTGCTTTTTATCTCCCCGTCCTGTTAGCTTAAGTTGAATGCTCAGAGATCAGAAATGACAGAATAAGGCAGGAAAGTGTACAAAAATCCTTGAACTATTGCAGATATTGCTGGTTTAATAGGGAATAGCTGAGGGAAATTACTTAAATTATAGCGAGGACATGTTTATAGCACACTAGCTTTCATAAATCTTTTTTCTTTCCCCTGCCTCAGGAATATACCAATGTTCCTTTAGACTTCAGTGGTTTGTTAGAGACTTTTTAAAAAGGAGAATTTTGGGAAATTAATAAAATATCATACCCTATGAATGCATTCTTGCTCACATTCACCCATTTCCATACATTCTCTTTCTTTCAGGGTTGGTTCATTCATTAGACAGTGTGAGACAGCTGCCTCAGAGGACAGAAGACAGGAAGCAGCAATGGCAGCTTCCCAAACATTCCTCCTCAAGCCCCTGTCAATTTCACTTGGGTACAAGAACAGAAATCTATGTTTTGCCTGGCCTGAATGATCCAGCTCCTCTTAGGGCAGTAGAGGACACGGCCACCATGCCAGTGTTGAAATAAATCTAATCCAAACCAGCATTCCCCTTTATATGGAATGGAAGTGGGTCCTTTGATGCACACAGAAAAATGCTTTCTCCTACTCTGCTGCCTTGCTCTGCCTTCTCTCTATCTTTGCATAGGTCTCCATCCCTTACGTTGTTATTTCTCTCCCTTGGTGTGGTAAAACAAGACATGCTGTGGGGAAATGCCACTGAAATGCTTCTTCCTGCCTCTAGAGCCCTATTCTGGTGTTACCTTATTTGGCATCACCAACGTGGATGGGGGGAATAGCTACCCCTATCTCCTCCTCCCCATCACTTCCTTTGTTCAAGCAAGAGTGATTCTGAGGATGAGAGCAAGAATTCAAATTTTCTAGGGCTTAGGACCTCTTCTAATTTATTTAGTGGATACACAGATGCAAATGCTGATACAGCTATATGTACAGGTATAGTAGTTTTGAAAGAGGTAGATAAACAAAACAATTTTTTTAAAAAAAGGATTGGGGAACCTGAAAGTCCAACAGATTTACTTCAGTGTGATTACAATCCTATTCCTCAGATACACAAGAGTCCAATATTCAGGTCACACGGTTATATTTAGGGTTGTTGGATTGGGAAACACTGACGTGGAATGCAGACATAGGCAATGAAGAGTATAATAGTGACACTAGTACAGATAATGAACTTTCAAAGTGCTCATTACATAAACATCTTAAGAAAAGGTAGAGTCATTAACTAATGGAAATTGTCTTTTGGCTGGTGCCTGCTGGCTGTAACTGTGCTGTATAAACTATGTAACTTTATAAGTGTGACCCCCAACTATGTATTCTGTGAATTTGAGGAAGCAGAGTGCAATAATAATAATCTTAGATCTGCAAAGCTGGAAGGGACCCTATGGAGCACTGAGTCCAGTTCCTGTCAAGGAGGCACTGTGGGGAATACTCAACCTCTGGCTCCGTAGCCAGAGACCGAAACCACTGAGCTATCCATCTGCTCTCTGTGAAAACTCACACTGAAATACATCTGTTAGTTTTTAAAGTGGCATAAAACTCCTGTTTTTATTTTAATTCCTCATTGATAAGATACAGAGATAAATGCAGATATAAATCTCCCTTCTCTTCCATCATGGGATTGATTAATGTGGCATTATGATCATAGCTAGGGAACTTTAATTTTTTTGGACCACCTTTGGTCTTACTGTTACTCTTCCCCATCAAAACCAGAGATGAGAAAAGTTATTTTTTTAAAAAAAGCCTACAACCTCCCCCAAGGGTAGCCAGCCAGCCATTGGTTCTTCATGCACTGAGCAGATCCACACCTGCCATTTTCCAATGGGATGACAGCACTATGTGTCTTAAGGCTCGATCCCATGACAGTATTTGAAACAATTGTTCAGTGTTCTTTTAAGACGCTTACTCAGGAGAATTCTGATTTTTTTTCCCATTGGTTGTGGCTGATCTAGTTATGTCAGTTCTTGACCTCTGTAAAGACTGGATAGTTAGGCGATTAATTGGCTATAGAATTTCCTTCTGTGGGAGACAAGGCTGGACCCTTCCCGGCTGGCAGTTAAAGATATTTTTATATCGACAGTCCGGCCACTGGTTGACTGATGAAAGCCTTTTAATGGTGCATGGTTTTTTTTTTTCTTGTTGCTTTTAAACGGTTTTAAAACTGTATTAATTCAGTGTTTGCTTCCATTTGATAATCTATTTAATACTGCTTTAGTACTCTAGCTTATTGTAAGCTGCATCTGTTTTTAAATTTATGCTGCAAGCTGCCTTAAATCCTGCAGGGAGGAAGGCAGGATATTAATTAATTAATTTAAGTGACAGCTAGGTCTTCTATTCAGTTGCATATTTCTAGATTTCCCTAAGATAGTGAACCTCAGACTGCAGGTGCAAATAACATGACTTTACTAGTTCTCTATGTTTTTGTAGGAAGAAGCCCACACCTGCACATGAAGCAATGAAACTGAGCTACAGGTTCACCAAGTGAATGAGAGGTCTACCAAAGACATTATGCAGCCTGAAACAGAATAACAGACAATGTCCCTCACCTACCTGAGCCAAAGTGCATATTATTCAAGGCTGGTCAAATAATTTTGCATCAAAGAGAAAATCCCACAAAAATATTCTCTCCTCAGCAGTAAAGGGTAACAATAATGCATTAAATAATGAACAATGTGCCGCTGTTTGATGGCACCCAAACACATCTGCCAGAAACAAACATCTCATTTTGCATAATGATAGGAGCAGCTCTTATACCACAAAAATATTGGTGACATCCATTTGTTAGTGGCATTTGTTCATTCCTCCTTTGTCACCACTATATTTGGACTAAACGAGGAAACGCTTTGTTTTCTGCCCTGAAAAAGATAATCCAATAACCCCCTTCCCAGGAAACCATTGGATTTTCTCTTCTTTGGCTCTTAAATAAATGGAGGAAGCTAGGGTTTATAACTACGCTGGAGCTTGTAACATTAGAAACACTCGGTGTGTTTGCAAGTCCCCAAACGCACAGCCTCATTTGCTGCCCAATCAAACTCAGTAGTTGTAATAGTTACCTTGGCAGGTCTTGCTCTGGAGTTTAAAATTCCCAACCTACAATATATATAGTTAGTCTTAATAAATAAATGACTTGGACCATGCATTATATATATCACTCAAATCCGTAAGGACACAAATTATGTATAATACATCGGCTGTGTAATTTATTTATTAAGCAAAATGTGAATTTTCCATGCTTGTGTTTTGAGGCACAGTTTGTCACACACAGCTAAATGATGTATTCTTATTAGTCCCACTCAATTACCAAGTCATCCCTCTGTGCACTGCGTATTTGTTAATGATAGTGCCACAGCGCTTGCGTCTACAATACCTGTGATTTTAGTGATTCATAACCACTCACTAAAACTGTGAAAATGATAAATTGACTGCTGTTGATTAAATGCCGCCAACAGTATGTTTCGTATGTGTTTGTGGTTGGTAAGAAGTTAAAGAAATAGCATTGCTCCAATCATTTAAATATCTAATTAAGCAGAGCTCTTGCTAGATATGGAGAAAGAAAGCATTCAGTGGAATGAAGGAGCATAGCGTATAATGGAGGAGGAGGGGTGGCCTCTCCATGTGGAGGTCTGCTCTGTGTTAATACTGCAGGCCGTACACAAACAATAAGGGGGAACAAATACAGGACAGAATGTTTTTAAATGGGAAAAATAAAACAGTAGAGATCTTTAGCCTCACTGCACAGCTGCCTGTGGTTGATTTGATGGCTTAAGCTAACTGCCAAGATTAGCATAGTAAGGAAGACTGTGTCTCTGCCACCAAAAAAAATCAGGTCACAATTTGTGGAACTGGAGAAATGGGCAAATGGAGGAATGGCTACATTTTCATGCCTCTAAGTCTGTGGCAAAAAAAAAAAAAAAAAAAAAAACAGAGGGGGGGGAGGAAATACCAATTTCAAGCAAAGATTGTCTGTGCAACTTTTGGTCAATTCGTCTGAGGACAAAGACAAGAGGAACATATATTCCTGAAGCATAAATTGAACTTGCAAGTTGAAACAGAAACATGCTAGTCTGTGATAAAGAATCCATGGTAAATGTTGGTAAAGAAGGATACCTTCCTCACTTCCAAACCAAATATATGTATGGTGGTGCCTGCAGTTAGAAGAGGCATGGGGAAAGTAACTTCCTAGAGGCCCTTTGTCTCACCAAGCTGCTTTCCTATTTTTAATAAACCTTTTGGTTAGGCAGCTGAGTTTCTTCACCTGCTCCTTCTCTGCCACTCACCTGTCTCAATAATTTCCCCCTCCTCCCTTGCTCCCTGCAGCCCCACTCATTTGTGCTTGTTGGCAAGGCTGGCAGGCTACAAGGGTGCCAACAAGTCCTGCAAAGAAATGAAAGGGCTGAGCCGAGTCCACCACCATGGACAATTCCAATATAAAAATTTTATCCCAGTTTCAGAGAGTACGCAGCAAGCTGAGCTTTCAGGTGTGATTTTTTGGGGGGATACAAACCCAATGGTAGGACTGGGTCAAGCAGGAGGACAGGCTGAATTTTTCTTGTCATCCTGGTGCTATCATTGGCTACCTGTTACCAAGGACAGCAGGTGGTTGCCTCAACTTGCTGTTCATCTTCCAGACTGGGAGAGGTGCTTTAAATGAAAATGGTTCTAATTGTTTTGCAATTAGAGATGGGCATGAATCTCTGTTCAGAGGTTCATGCCAGCTCATATGCATGTTCCCTTCTCCCACCTCCCCAGCCCCATGCTCCTCTCCTCTTCCTGTTTGGCTGTTCAACCATTCCCCAGTAGAAGCAAGAGTTTGCCTTTCCTGCCTCCTTGTCTAAGTGGTCAATGAGCCAAGAAAGTGGGGAAGGGAAGCCCCTGCCAGAGACTGGTCAAATAGCCAAAGAGGAAGAGGGGACAAGCATGCACCAGCTGATGAGTGGAAGATCCAGCCAGGGAGGTGGGGGACAGCAACATGTGCAACCTATGATACCATGCATACAAACTGGTAACATCTCCCCAATGAAGTTCACTCTCATCTCCATTTGTAGTGCATCTTCTTGGTGTTGTTTGGGCTGCAGGCTTGCAAACTTTGCTCCACATTCCATTGTTAATAATGTCACTGGCAATATACCTATTAATGGTAGTACAGGAGGAATTCTTTCCTTATTGTTTAATATGGGACACATTAAAGTGGATTGTCATTTGCCCAACATACAGGAATGACCAAAGAAGTTACGTATTCAGAGTATAATTCAGCAAATCCCCAACGGGGCTGAGGTATTCTGTGAATTACAGTCCAGCTATGTAATTTTTTTCCAGGCTCTGGCAATAGCTGATTGCTTTTCAGGGCTATCACATAGATTGGTACCGTAGATTATCCACTCAAAGAACATATTAGACACAGTCGAAAATGTTATGCATTGTCTAGGCTCTATGGATATTGTCAAGGCAATGTATAAAATTGCTCACATTAACTTACATTCTCAAATCCTGCCTGTATATAAATGTCAACAGACACTAATGTTTATTCATCTTTTACAATGAATCTCAGCATAGTCTGGAATTGCTGGATCTATGTGCAGCTGCCCAATATGGCAAAGGCACTGAAATGCAGATGACAGGCTTCTCAAGGAAGCATCTACAAGGCTTCGAATGACTTTGCCAACCCAGGTTAGACAGTAAATAGTGTCAGAGATTTTCCAATGGTGCTCAACCAACATTACCAACATTATCTTACTGGTACGTTCTTCTACCCTGGACTGTTCTTCAGTCTGGAATTCCAGATTGTTGTTTGGTCCTCTTAGGTACTCCTTGGTCCTAATTCTTGAATTCTGGCTTTTGTCACAGCTTCCTCTTTCATGACTGATCCTCAGATTGCTGCCCACAGCCTAGACCTGGCAAAACTTGATAATAATGTAATTTTTGAGGTTCAGCACACAGTCAAATAAACAGGTGGAATACCTCCCACTGAATTCTGTGTGTTTCCCACTGAAGAAGATAAATTCCAGTTTTGAATCATTAGCACAAGCCTCTTTCCTTTAAAGAATGAACAATTAGAGACAACCTTTCTTTGATCAGGACTGATATCTTTAAAGACAACAAATATTTCAGCTGTGACAGCCCATTACTTTTCTTCTTTGTACAGCTTAGATTTCCTCAAAATTGTTTACAGCAACAAAATAACTCATTGAGGGCTATGTTGTTGTGTCTCACCATTTCTGAACAAAGAATGTGAAAGACAGACCTAGCTGCAAATAGCATTTGAGTCTGCCATTTTATAGGTAATTCTACCCAGTTACAACTATAGTGTTTCTCAACACAATAGTGATATGGTTGCCTTGAAGTTTGGAGAGCTACCTTTTTAAAGGAATAATTTTTGTTACTTATTATTCATTACAACTATCCATTTCCCATAACTCGTACCAATAGTTTTTGCTTTTTAATTACTTTAATTAATTAGTTTTGATTACGTTTTACCTCCCTTTTATTTATTTTTTTAATAAGACCAATAAAAAACAAATATGAGAGTGGTCTAAAATTTGGGAAGGAGGGTAAGTCTTCTCAAACTATCCTCCAAGATACCGAACTTCAATAATAGCAGCAAGCTAATATGCACCACAGCTTCAAGAGAGAAACCCTTCCATAATTAAAAATGTAAGGCACAGGACCACATGCAATAGAGGGTTCATGTGCAAGTGCATTCTCATCTTGAATTTGTATCTGTTTTACCTTATTATTACAGTTTCCCCATAGAAGTGGAGAGTTTTTGTTTTATTTTTAAGAATAAGATTTTAAAAATAAGCAATGAAATAGCACAAGAATTCCTGGAGTTCACCTCCTTAAGATATGGCCATTCATTGAACTCACTTGAAGAAAAAAACAAGCAAACCAATTATGCACCTACAAGTACATGCACAGAGAGATTCTCCTCCATGTGTTCAAGAACTCTCTTTCTATAGGGTTCACAAGTATGTTGCTTGAATTCTGTGCTTCTATTGCCACCCCAGGATGTGTTCACTGTATGAAAAATCTGAGGGGGGGGGAATCAGTTGCCCCATAACTTTTCTTTTTATTTTTGTAATCAGTAATGACCAATTTTAAACCCAGTTTATATGACTTGCAATCCATGTTCACACCTTTATCTTTTTTTCTCATTTCTTCCAGCATATTTACTCACAATATTTAAAGCAAGAAGGCATTTTCTTTTCCCTCCAAACAAACAAACAAACAAACAAACAAACACTAAAATATGTTGTTTAGAAAATATGTTCTAGTGGTGTACCATTCTTCTGCTAAAGCATTCTTTTAATTATTTTTAATTAAAGTTAGGGATTGCATTAAAATCTAATTATGCTGTATTGACAAAAAAGGGAAAAGGAAACAAGTTGGTGTTACATGTCTACAAAAAGGAAATTTGTACATTAGAGTCATATTTTTTCTCTCTAATTGTTTCACAGAGAATACAAAGAGAGTGTTACATCCTCTAACAGTGATTTGTCTTTGTAGCCTTTCACCCTTAAGAACACATTTTACAGTGGGGTCTCTACTTAAGAACGTCTCTACTTAAGAACAATCCAACTTAAGAACAGCTCCATTTGCTAATTTTTGCTTCTACTTGAGAACAGAAATCCAAGATAAGAACAGGGAAAAACACCTTTCCTGCTCTTTTTTTAACCTTAGGTCATCTTAGGTTAAAAAAAATTCTCCCCCTAGTGGTAGAGTACGTATTAACCAGCTTTGCATTAGTTCCTATGGGAACTAATGCTTCAATGTACGAACGCACCTCTACATAACAAAAAAACAGCCAGAATGGATTAATTGGTTTTCAGTCCATTCCTATGGGAAATTTTGCTTCAACTTAAGAACGTTTCAACTTAAGAACACCATTCCAAAACGGATTAAGTTCTTAAGTAGAGGTTCCACTGTAGTTTCTATGGACGGAAAAGAGCAGATACGGATTAAATGGTTTTCAATGCATTCCTATGGGAAATGCAGATTCAACATAAGAACTTTTCAACTTGAGAACCACCTTCCAATACGGATTAAGTTCTTAAGTAGAGACCCCACTGTACATCCAAACATAATGGCTGATACCTCTTTGTCCAGGTATGCCACATAAGGTTGAGGACATCATCAGCCACAGAACTATTCTCCTTGTGGAGAGGCTGTTGGGGGGCCATCAATACCACTAGGATGACTTTATCTTTGAAGTGGGGAATCAGAATTTTTTATTTCTGAAAAATCATCATGACATCATCAGTCTGAGAGAACTACATGGCATAACTTATGGACATGATTCCAGACAGTCTATACTCTACTTAGGTGTCACTGAAAGCATGAATACAAGAGAGATGGAGCCACAGCAGTAAGCCCAGCCACTGACATGATATCATCCATAGTCCTGCCGAAGCATAAGTCAGCAGTGTCCGATTCCCTGAGATTTCAAAACTAAAGCCTGATGTCTAGGTGCAAGCCCTTATGTCATGAGGTAAACTATTAAACAACAGCAAAATGGTATTTGTGTGAAAAAGAAACATACAGAAAGACTAAAACTCGCTAAAATCATGTTTCTTTTTTCTGCATGCACAACTATGGGCTGTAGACATAACTCTCTCTCTCTCTCTCTCTCTCTCTCTCTCTCTCTCTCTCTCTCTGCCAATTAAACAAAGGGGACTTCACTGCTAGGGATGTGCCATTTGGCTTTTTTGAACTTTAGCTCCTAGAATTCTCCAAGGATTCCACAGGAAAAGGTCAGGGAGTTCCAGCCATAGACCCATCAACAGGAAGTAAGCCAAGACAGCTGTGGACCTGCTATCAGGACCTGCATTAGGCAAGTGAAATATGGACATCTTTAAATGTTTGTAGGGGTAGGCCTGTGGGCTAGAACTC